TTTCCTCTGTTCCATGCGCACACAATAGATCACCCGATTGGAAGAACTCAAGCAGGATCAATTGTTATGTTTAACCCGATTTGGCGAATCATTTCAACCACCCAAGGAGTTACGGGACGTGGAGATCAGTGCGAACTGGATCCGGGCAAAGCGGCTTTACGGGCCGGAATCTACGAATGTGGTGGTACAGACTCGTGTCCGCCNGCTCCCACTCAGGAGAACAAAGTTGACCGAAGCGATCGAGTTCCGGTAAGCCATGAACCGGATTAGTTCACCGGAAATGCGACTGAAAAGATGCTAAGTGAAAGTGTAATCGCTGATTGTTTGATCACTTTGTACACATTTTTGAGGGAAATGGGCAAAAGAAACAAGCTAATAATTAGATAATACTAACAGAAACGGGCTTGTCATCCGCGTCTGCGGTACATTTTCCACAGAACACTCTGACATTAAATTCTGGTACATCATCCCGCGTTTAAGCGTGATACATCGATCTTAAGTGGAAAAGAGTACCAGTGGTCAAGATGCCTAGGTTGTCAACTTATCGGCCGGATCCCATTACCTACCTAGCACCCACTTTTCCCACCTCTTCAGATCCTTATCGATTAGTTGCTTCCTAAAAGTTGTCTGTAAACTGATCTACTCTGCAAAAGGAGTGTAAACATTGGGATTGTTTATACATTTTCAAATATATGCAATGATATTTGAGGCTCGCCGTTGAACCTTCATCTAAGCCTTTCGCGAAGCGAAAAAAGTAGCAGTTTAGAACAAAGCGTTATCACACAAACAGTTTTGAGGTTATCCAAAACGAGGAAGTCCGCTACTCGTGATATTCTGACAAACACTTCTATGCATGACTAAGACAAACTAACGCCTTCCTGGTCGTGAGTAGATCAGTGTCTGACACCTAGGGGGTTATCGGGACTTGAGGCCTGTTCCATTTGTGATAATTGGTGTTGAGTTGGGAGATTACTCATCTTCTCTGAGAATCGCTTTTTATTACATACCGGTGTTCCGGACGACAGACGGGGTGGAACCCGACAGTTACGAAAACCTGTTGTTCAGTGATGGTAACTGGCAACCTAAGCCCCGGGACTTGGAGTGGCGAGCCACATAAGGCCCCGCTGGGTCAGGCGTGATACTGAACCGAGCGACAGCAAAGCTGTCTTCTCTGAGAGAAGCTGCTTCTATGGGCTGCAGATTCAGAATCTTTTCTATAGAGCCAGAATGGCCCATTCGAGAATGTAAAAGGCATGTCTAGAACCAAGCATCTTTGTCTTCGAGCTCTTTTGAATTGTATTTCACGTAAAGCTATCGACGAAGTTGCTTATCTGTCCCAAATATGAGCTCTTGCCCGTCGCCATGTGATCGCCTGTCACGTCTTTTTCTACCGTTGAAAACACAAATTTAGCTCTTCTGATCTCATCCACATATTGGAACTCGAGTCCCGGACACAGGAATTAGGACACCAATACCAAATGACCCTAGAAGCTTAATGGTATCGCTCAAATCGTGTTTCTCCAAGAACTACGGAATCGTGGAACATTGTTTTTCCCGATACTCTCGGTCTTCAAGGACAGAATCAACAAGTTGAACCTTGGATGAACATGCGCCTAACCCCATTGTATAGTAGGCTTTATGATTACGGGATTTGTTCGTTTATTGTACTGTAGCCGTGCCGCGTAACCAAATTCATGAGACACGAATCATCCTAGATGTTTTACGCCTCTGCGTTGAATCGATAATCGTGAAATCCGAATATTCATATCCACAAAACGTTCTATGATTACGGGTCCATCCAACTAGGTACTCACTTACTGGATTGAATTGACCGACTTCTCAATGTTTTTCTCTTTATTATACTCGCTTTGTTGTATACCCATAGAAATGTGTGAAAGTTTACGAGAATGGAAAGCCCGTTGGTACAGCTCAGTCGATCACAGGCCTATCATTGCAGCAGTTATTGGAAAGAGCAACTGTTGCACTGCGGCTTCCGGTGCCCGCAGTGTGTTTTTATTCGCTGGGTGGAATGAAAGTGAGTCTAGCGCATCTAACTGAATGTCTCACCTACCGACACCGCTATTGTTTCCGTCCCGTTTGATATGATAAGACATCTTGCTTGACTCGAAAAACCAACAACTATCCGCGCCACCTTTGAATTTAAGAATGCATCCACTGCAATAAACAAATAAAAACACAAAACGAAAAGGTATTTTGCCTGGATCTGTATTGGTTAAACATACACCAAATCCCAATTTGATCTACTCGCAGCAGTGAAATGACCACAGGAATTAACTATTTGCTTCTAAAATTATGCTTCGGTTCTCAAAATCACGCTGGCCAAATGACCATTTATTCCCTTCCTTTGCAGATTTCGACATACAATCAAGTTTTGGATGGTGAACTCCTGGCAGTTTCCACAACCGGAAGAAGATTTTTACGAGACTGATAATGTTTTTAACATCAAGACCAGCTTTATATTTCTATTTCCGATGAATAAGAATAGTAGTAAATGAAGATCCAAAGTGCGTTGAATTTATGGAAACGAAGGCGTACGGGTATTTACTACAAAAAAAACAAATTACTGTGAACCCACTCCAATCTGGTAAGGCCCGGAACTCACTAGTCTAGTGCGTTTGGTTGTTAACCTCAAAACAGAATGAACAGGATAGCCTTACAATGATATACTCCAGGGCAACCGCATGTTACGTGATACATCAATTTAGTACTTTTGGTAAACCCATTTATGGAAAGCGCCTGAACTATTAGCCACAGATCTGTAGTTCCCATATCCAAATGTTTAGGCATCCACATTAAGTGAACAGCTCTAGGTGCCATATGTCTAGCTTCCATTCAACACTTCAACGAGGATTGAAAACCTGTTCGACACCACTTTCTGTCTTCGTCTTCCTTCCGATTTAGATCACCACATTCAAACAAAATCAACGAGCCAGTTCGGCCCATTAATTCTCCCAAGTACGCCCCTCAATTGCATTCGCTCTATGCTTGACGAAAAATAAATCCTGAAATATGACCAACGGTGTGCGACTACCGGAACCTGTTGTAAACTTAACAATCGTTGAAGTGAGACTGGAGATATGACAAGGTGAACGAAGAAAACGGGTCAGTAGTTCTAGTTCTGGAGGTAGTAGGTTAGTCAAACGGAGCTGTACGCTATCCGGTGCGAATAGGATGAAAACCACTTGTGGTCAACCGTGAATGACGGCATAGATTCACTAAATGAACGATCGAGAACGATGAGTGGCTGGGCGCGGTGGGTTTTTCGTTTTACAATCGACCTCTCTTCAAAGAGAGTATCGTCTGACGAATGAGTCTGGCAAACTGCTAGATAAGGCGATTACCACCTTACCGCAGTCACACAGGTGCCACCCAACTGTGCAAATGATAGGGAGACGACTCTGAATAAAAAAAGTGTTACGCTGCTTTTGTCGCTGTCAGCGGCGTGCTTTGGAGCTTATGGTCCAAACCCCGCCGCCCAACTTTGGTGGTAGACAGCTTTACTGTCGTCCGGTTCAATACCGCGACTGAACTAGCGGGGCCTTATGTTGCCGGTTTCCATCACTGAACAAGTCTTCAAGACTGTCTGCTGTTTATTACACGTGTGATTACAAAATGACTTGTATCGTATTCCCAGGTTTCTTTAGTTCATCCATGGAGCATAAATTCGCCTTAGAGAAGCAGTATCAGTCGATAACAAACATCGTTGATACCACCCAAATTTGTTCGTTCTTGAGACTTTCAGAACATACCATAAAACAGGATACAAACACAGATTGTCAATGTACATCGGATGGTTATTGAAGGTTGGGACATACTGTACCTGAAACAGAACCCCGAAGATACCTTCGAGAGTTAAATTTTGACAAAAAGGAACCCATTGGTAGTTGTTTCTCAGTGTAGTTAGGCTTTTCTATTTTGCCATTTTAGGTATCAACTCCACTCCATCTTTCCACTTTGTTCTGCATCTCAATCCACCTGCCCCCTATTATTGTTGTGGCGTTGGCACCATGCTCATCTACAAGATGGTGTTTATATATATATATATATATATATATATACCACTGAAGACTCCTGCGCAATTTTTGCAGCTTAAATAGCAACTTGAGGAGAAACCTTTCGCACTTAGTCGTTTCTTCACTAATGTCACTCTCTGAAACTATCGTCTCGACATCTTCTACACACTTGTTTTCGCCCCATAGGGCCTTCAAATAGCAGGAGAAATAAAATATGGTTAGTTGATTATCGCCCGTCTGTCCCAGCAATTTGTGCACCCTTTGAGTCAGAGCTAGCGCGTGAAATAAGCGCACCTCAACGTGGTGGTGTAGATGAACAGAACGATCAGAGCAGCTGAACAATGCAATTCGCAGAAAATGTTGCCTCTGTGTCTGAGTCTTAGGCCCATCGAGGGCTTAGTTATCTCATGAGTAAGTAGCCCTGAATGAGAAAAAACGACAAATCCTGACCTGCCAGGATCAAAACGGAGGTAGGTAGCGTTTGCAACGTCAGCTCACGAAGAGCCTCAAGAAGGACCGTAAAACTGTTGGGCAACAACTGCTAACAAAATGGAGGTGTCAGCTGCTTCAAGGACTACTCAAAAACTGTCCCAACCGAGTGTTGGTAATAAACGGTCAATTATCATCGGCGAAGCGCAGTAGTCTGTCACCAACCAGGAAGACGAGAGACGCCTACTCTACCCAATCGTTCTGTGCGCTTCTTCATGCCTCGTCTCCACATCGTCTGCTAGCCTCCACGTGGCTTTCTCCAGCCAGCAATAGCCACTGTGAATAAGGCGCGCTGCGGTAGGCGACCGTCGGACATAAGAAAACGTGTCTTAACCAACGGAGCATATTGAGCTGGATTCGATGTGATGGCGACTTTGTGTTCCATGCATTCCCTAACCCCGACGACTTACTTCTAGGTTCCTAATCCGCTCATTCCATCCAATCCGGGTCAGACTGCGTAAGCATCGATTGTTGAACACTGCTAAACGACGGGTGTCTTCTATCCACAAATTCAAGGTCTCACAATTGTAAAGCAGAACCGATCGTACAGAGAAGTGGTGGATAGAAAAGTGTAAAGAGATTGAGAAAGCTGCGGCTATTGGTAATAGTCATAACCTTTTCCATCTAATTAGGAATACGGGCCCTAGGAAAATAAGCGTAAGATAAATAAGGAATGCAATGGCACACTGATTCACGATCAGCAACGCC